TGTTCCTGCTGTGCTCTGTGGAGAAGTCCAGGCGAGGAAGAGGTGGTGAAAAATAACCCTGCTGCTACTTCCACTCATACATCCTTCATCACCTCACCCACTGATCCACCACGTATCATGCAACTAACGTACTTTATGGCCTTTCAACACTATAGATATAGAACTAAATAATAATTCATTACCTTTATCTGACACAGTTGTATTTTAAGGTTCCTTGAAGACTGAAAACAACACATACACCAATGTTTGCCTTCAATACTAAGAGGGGAATACATACTGGAGACTGGCAGCCAGGGAGAAAAACGAGAAGAGAATTATATTTGAGTGAGGAGAGATGTGCAAAAAGACAATGATGTGTGGATCAGAGCCTGCAGTGAAAAGCAGACAGCTGGAGTTTGATAAAGTATCACTCAAACCTGAGGTATATTTCACATGACTTTCCCAAACAAGGCCAGAGTGAAATGGTCTGTGAAATCCCATCTGCAGCTCCAGAGCCGTGTCAGACTCTGTCCTCGTCTGCGGACTTTATACGACGTCAGTAACAGCACTTCCTTTCCTCAGTCTCACTAGAGTAGTGATGGGTACAACAACACTAATAACACAAAACAGGCGAAGGTTGGAGGAGGACAGAAGAAGGCTAACGGAATCTCCTTTGACACTGAGGTTGTGATCTTTGAACCCGATCGGGTGAAGGGTCAGGTAGATAAAAGAGCAAACGGACAAGTAAACAAAACAAGGCTTGACAGTTCCATGACCACAAACCATTCCCAGGACTTATCTTATCGTTTCTTAGCTTTTCACCACTGACCACAAACCACTAAGTAATTAGACATCTTCAGCCATGATCGTGAATCAAAGCTCAGGAATAGAGGCAGACAGGCTACTGAAACACTTCGCTCACTTAAAATAATATAAGAAACTGTTAGCAGTATAACATCTGAAACCTGTAGCTGCACATTCACACAGAAATGTGTCAAACAACACTCCCCAGTGCACTACTTTAAATACACCTTCACTATAAAACTGTAAAAAAAAAACCTTGGTGGGGGTGATGCAGTCTTCCTCCCCCACTCCCTCTCTCTAGGGAATGCAGGTATGCGTGAGGACGATGGATATTCAACAGACTTAGCAGATGGCATTTACAGTCAGCTCTAAAAAATGTAGCCATAAAATGATACTTATGTGCATGTCTTCGACATTTTAAATGACTATAGCATACTGCATTATGGCTTCTAAATGATTCCACAGAATCTTCCTGCTGGTTTGGTACTCTCCACCACTGACAGGGTCAGAACTTGGACAGAGCTTTTTGATCAAAACCTCTTGAAAAGACAAAATGAATGATCACCATGTTGACATGGTTGACACTGGAGAAAATGTCCTCTCTGGGAAGAGATTTTTATCTGTTACGTACTTCCAAACCTACGTAAAAAAAAAAATTTAAGGTGTTATACAAAAGACTCACAGAAACCAGTTGAGGTTTAAGTACACTTATTGTGAAAGTAACGTTTATACTACTTGGGTCATTCAGGTCATACTATACATCACTCAAACCTCAGAAGACAACTGTCAAACTATCAAAATGATTAGTCTGTGTATCAACAACAATTAATCATAATTACATGATTACATGATAATGACAATTAAACATTCACAGATATGACAGGAAACATTTCCGTATATTTCTTATATAACAGAAAAATGAACAGCAGGTCGACGTATGTGTTTGTTATTGTTGACAATTTTAAGTGATGGAATTATTGATAAAAAAAGTAAAAAAAAATGCAAAGAGTTATTGGATTTTAGTCCTTACAATAATAGAAGAAATACTTTAGCATTAAGAGAATGCTGCTGTTAAAAAGCGTTTTCCAGATGACAGAAAATCAAGTGAATAATTATATTTTATAAATACTCTAGGTGCAGCTCTGTCTGTTGAAAAGCATTTCACTAATTCATGCTAACAGAATGTGGCAACTTGATTGATATCAGGGTTTGGCCAGGCTGCATCTTTTGCTTCATTTTTTTGGTCAAAGTGACCTAAAAAATAATGATGGAAATTTTATTCCACTCGATGACATCTGTCAGGAGAGTCATCCAAAAGTAAAAAGATGAAAACAAGTGATAAGAAGTCTTCTTTCTTTTTACGACATTCGTCACAGTGGAAAAACATAGACATAAAAATATAGAAGTTGGATCAATCCAACTTTTTTGGTTAAAAAAATAAAGGTTACATTTCATGTCCATACTTTTATAGACTCAGCATGTGGGCTTCACACATCAGAGTTGTCTGGCATCACTTGTACACTGAGATTTACACCTTCTGATTACTAGATGACCAGTGTTGTCACACTTTCAAGTTCATCTCAGGGCATCCTTCACACTGTCTGCTCTCCATTAGGATGCGCTGGCTTTGCCACATAGGTGTTCACTATAATGTTTTGTCCTCAAAAAATCTTTTAGAAACACATCAATATCTGACATCTGTGCGACTGCATGTCAGTTGGACCACAAGCTAAAATCATTCCTCGTCTCTCAAGGAAGCCATCTAACAAAAGAAGTCACTCTCACACTGGTGAACCACTCTTCGTATTCCATCTCTCTTTTACCATATCTACATTTTTTTACCTTTCACATACCAAAAGGCTGAAAATTGTATCAAAATTAATGACAGGAAAAACATGTTTGTGCCAGACCAATAAAATACTTGAGCAACAGTGTTAAATGACTGCATGATCATTTACAGAAAAATCAGATAGAACACCGGAAAAGTGAAATTAGAGAAGCAATAACATTTTTCTAAGGCTCCGATTGCCAGAAGAAACAAAGGTGTTTTTGTCACTTGAGTATGAATGATTAGAGACCAGAAGTCGCATTAATACTCAAGTGACAAACATAGCTGTGCTCACTGCAAATGCAAGGACAACTGACAATTAATAACAGGGTTAGCAGTAGAATGTCAAATAATGTAAATTTCAACAGAAAACCTGTTTGGTGAGGTAGTTCATAGTGGAAGCAACTTTGGTCAGCGGAGTGGTAAACAGGGTCTGGACATATGGACTGCATTTCGTGTGTCCTGTTGAGAGAGTACGAGCGATGAGAAGAGAAGAACATGTTTGTTTTCTAGACTGTACTTATCAACAGAAACCGTCGAGTCAAATCTTAATGCACAAATTACAGGAATGCACTAGTGATCCATTTAGAAACTCATATAGAAATATTACACAATGGCCTCACACGGCTTGATGGAATGTGCTCCGACAGCCCTACAATAATAAGGTCATAAACTGAAAGACAACCAGACCCAAATCAAGAATAAACCTCAGTCTCTGTCCAAACATTCTCCAGCTGCTCTGCGGTGAGCCACCATTCTGACAGGAAACACTTAGCGTACAAAAGGACAACTCACAAGAGTACAACCAGGATGTTAAATGTGTCAAGTGTACAAGATGACCCCTTTAAAAAATGATTTATTGTCTAAAAAACACAGTCACAGCTTTTGAAATATGAGATAAGTATATTCATACGCACATTCAGCCTTGCCATCAATTTAACGTCTAATTACCTTGTTCCCTAAACATGTTAGTGACTGAAGAAGAAAACCAGCCATCCAAACAACACCCCAACACAAACACACCTAAAACCCTTCTAAAGATAAAGATAAAGATAAGGATTACTATTTTTTTCCATGCCAAAACTACCAAAACAGCCATAGCTTCTGGCCACATTGGAAAACCACATCAGTGCGAAAAATGTTTGTTTAAAAAAACACAGAGACAAACAACAACTTTTGGAAGGTATTTTATTGACTATTCAATAAGTATTACACTTCCCAGTACTGTATATTTGTACAGAATAATAAGCGTTTCAACAAACAGATAAGTTGACGGATAAGAACAGAACAAAAAGAATCAAATCTGTCTCGTGATTGGCTTCACGGTCATTTTTTCTGTATGGCACAGTCACATCGTCTTTTAGTTGACTGTGAGTGCTTACGTTTGTTGAGCTGCAGAGTCATCCAAGGCAGGGCCGTTACTCTGCTCCTTCGATCTATTTCTTGTCAAAAAAACTTTCCATTTTCCGCTAGCTAGCACGCTACACGCTAGCTTAAGGACCACGGCAGCCAGCAGGTGTAAACCGCCAAGTCTTAACAGTGACCCGAGTGAGGCGCGTTCACGTAACCATCGGAAACTGGAGAATCCGACGATTACGGTAGTTTACGTTCTACGCACATGCCCCCCATATCTTTCCTCCGGTTCTGAGGTCCCCAGCAGCCCCCACTTGCTGTAAGCAATGGTTCCCAAACTTTTTCTATGCTGTGGCCCATTTTAAGTTCACGTTACTTATTTTTATAGCATTTTTCATACAATGAATGTAGCACAAAGTGCTGTACAGATTAAAAAAAAATGTAAATAGGACAATTGCCAACCCCTCCACCTCAGCTCAGGTCAACACATACACCTTGTTCTTATTAAGTAAAGGAAATAATATTATCAATCAACTTCCCCACTGTAGTCCAAATTAAAAATAATATTGAAATTGACATTAATAAGGGTTTCTGTGGCCCTTTGATGCACTGATTCAATAATTATATATATCTAATTATTGAATATATGTATATATTTATATAACTGTTTATATATTTAACAGTTGGAATTGCAACATAAAGTAATTGTAATTTAATGTAAAAAAAAAAGGGGGAGTGGGGTAACCAAAACCAAAACAAACATTATGCAACACAAAAAAGATGGGGTCATTTTTACATGGAACATTTAACAGGGTCAAAAAAAGACACAAAAGGTCATTTTTACATGGAACATTTAACAGATCTGTTACATGTGGGCAGCAGATTTGTCTTTGAAACACACTAACAGGAAGGAGCAGAAACCAAAAAAATTTAATTGTACCAAACAATTGAAAATGAATCCTTTCAAGACCCATTATACAACACATGTTGTACACCCACACAAAGACACACACACACACACACATTTTTCTGTCTGCAGAGCTCTGCTCAGACTGTCTGTTGCTGTCTTGTTTTATAGTAGCTGTAACAGTACGACAGTGACTCACAGATGTTTATAAATCAATCAGAGCCGTGAGATTCAGCAGCCTCACTGTAGTTCACATTCGGAATTCACATGTACGGGCACACCATATAAATGCTGCTTCTGTGTATGTTGGATATTTAAAAAAAAATCACTGACTCACACACTCTCCCCTCCTGCAGCCTTGGCTTCCATTCATCCCAAGTCATGGTCCTTGTGGAGTCAGTGGTTCATTTTCCAGCTGTGTGTCCCCTGCTTCAGTCTCTCTCTCTGCTTGTCTGCCTTTGAAACCTTGTGGATAAGGTTGTACACACAGTATTAAATGTGTGACATGGTTATTATAACAGCTCTGGACACTTGATTTATTCCTTCATTAGTTAGAGTCCTTGAACTGAGAAAGGTCAAAGACCCTGCCGTAAGGGGCTAAATGATTTGTATCGAACTTTCAATGGTATTTTGAGCATGTGAAGAGGAAAAAGCACAGGGAAAACACCTCTGATTCCAGTGGTTAGCCTTTAAACTGTCTGGCTATACTCTCTGCAGTAGGAATAAAACAGGAAAACTTGGTCTTTTCTTTTTCTAACAGCAACTCCCTGTGACCTCCAATAAAAGTTCTCTGTGATGAAAATAGCAGGTTTTTGTCTCTTTTTTTTCAATTCAAATGGGAGATAGTGTTTCAGTTTGGATCAATTCGTTTCAAAGTCAGGCTATTTGGACAGCAGCATGACTTTTGATCAAAATTGAGAAAGGCACATACACTTTCCCCTATATTTCAGGCAGAAAGAAAGTGTCTGAGGCTGTGGTGAAAGGACACGCATTAGGAAAGAGAAACCACCAGCATGTGGACAGACAGCAGATAACAGACAGAGAGCAGAGAAGAGGAGCTGAGTCACAGCAGGGAGCAGAGACAGACAGATAACCACTGACAGATAGAAGGACCGGCCTCTCTGTGTCCTCTTCACCACTGGCCTAAACTTTTTAAACTTTCTTCCCACCGAGACTTTTGCTACCTGTTAATCTCCGAGCTCAAATTCATTACTGGCTGCAACCTGACCTCTGACCTTTCACCTCTCTCAGTCTTTGACAGTTTTTTTTTCATATCCATATATGCATTTAACACATGTTTTAATTATTGGGTCATTTGTTTTAGCATCAAATTCACACGTAGTTCCTTGGTAGATCATACACAACTGCCTGGAAATGAGCAACACAGGGCCTGAGAACGGGGTTTGTTGTTGATGCCGCGCTTACGTCGGCTGAAATTAACACCAGATGTTGGGATGAGGAGGGGGGCGGGGGGGGGGATTAGGGGAAAGGCAGAGGAGTCAAAGGAGCTATGGTGAAGGGAGATGAAGGTTTGGAGGAAAACAACAATGACTAACCCCTATGTGCCCTGCTTTAAGTCTTCAATACCATTCAGGTCTTTTCCTTAAAGAGAAGGTGGAGAGAGATCTGTCACACCTCATAAATCGCCACATTTCCCTGCCTTAATAACACTGAAGCTCCAAAAACCAGAAACCTTAGATCCTTTGAAGAGGTGACACATACTTTCATCAGTTTAACTCTTGACCTTCTGTTTTTGGAAAATATTTCTGAGCTTCCTTCCTTTGCATTAAACCAGCTCTTTAACCTCCCCTCTTTTCTTTTCTTCATCTCCGTCTGCTTACTGACAGACAGCAAACAGAGTCGTCTCTTTGGCTTCTATTTCATCAGATCCAAACAATTAATGATGGGATCTTACACAGTTGAAACAAAACAGTGCGGTTTGCTGATACATGACATTGGTAATAAACAAGCGAGGTGTTTTCCACAGGAACAATATTACAACATGGTGTGAGTGCGCTTGTTTGTTTTTTTTAGAGTAACTGAGGCTGTTTGACATCAGGTGAACCAAACCAGACTGAGGGTGGAGACGCAAGTTTAAAAGTTTTATGTTGCACTTTCCTGTTTCCTGTTAAACATACATTGCTGGTGCAGTATAGTATATTTTTATTATTATACAAGCCTTTGATAAATAATTAATCACCTGCTACAAGAAATTTACTTCAGATAGCTAGGTAGAGTGTTAGCATTCAGCTAGCTATGACCAGGTGTGATAGTGCTACAACAGGAAATACAATTTGTGACCATGTGTCGAATAGTTTTCCCCCTGAACAGTCAACAGCCATTATATTATACATAAATATACATACATACATAATATATATATATATATACATATATATGTATGTATTCTAGTAACTGGTAGTAACTTGCAGACAGATAGATTTAGTCAGCAAAATACTGTAAAATGATCGTTTCGTCATTTACCTACCTTTTTCACTGCAGAGGTTTTCGGAGCAGCAGACTTTTATTTCCGTTTCTCAATGGTGCTCCTGTGAAAGTGATAAAGACGTTGTTGACATGGTCTTAGTGGAGCCATAAAACCTTCATTGACAGTTATGGTTCAGCCTGGTTGAGGAGGCATTATCTTGTTACTCTCCAGGCCTCAGAAAGACAACAATCGACATCTGGACTGTTTACAGCACCGTGAGGCTACACCTTAGCTTCTTGTGAACAGTGAAAATCTGCTACAGGGACTTCAATGATCCATGAAATCCCCTCAATATAAAAGAAAACGTTAGCTCCTGATGCTAACCATTCCTCTAATGTTGCATGAAAGTGCTATCACCTGCAGAGGAAGTTGAAAGTCCAGCCTGATCTCTTTGTCTTGGTCACATAATTTCAGTTTTCTACATAGTTGCCCGCAAAAAAAAGACAAAGACACACACACACACACAAAAAAAACAACACAATGAATGACGTAGGTGGACACTAATATATTACCTGTAGTCATGCTCCTATTGAAGGTCTGTAGTACTGAGTACTATTGATGTAAGTTTGTCTATTGTTCTGGCAAAACCACCAAAGCCTTGTATAACCTTCACTCCTGCGATTACTCAATTGGACAGCTAACACAACCTTGGGGGTGTTTGCATGAGCATTTACATTGCACAAACCACATGGGACCAGGGATCTAGATCAGATAATTGAGTTCAGATAATACTTTTTTCAGTTGGACAAATAAGGACATCCATCACAAAAGCTGTTTCCCCGCAGAGAGATTCCTGGATTTGTGTTTGCTTAATTCAAAATGGAGCCATGCCCACTCACAATCACCCATGCACATATGCATCACCAACCAGGGCCACATTTTTTACTAAATGATGGATGAGCTTTGTTAGATGCACATCTTTGTTAGATGCACATCAGAACACTGGTATGTCTCCACTTAGGCCTGAACTCATAAAACCTTGCACAGAGCTGAACGTTCCGTCATTGGCCCCACCCACTCATATAGAAAGAAGAAGTGAAGCCAGAACTGAGTCATTCACTTCACAATCAATAATTCCTGTTCTGCCGTGAAAGGTCAAATTACAGTGTTTGACTAAAAAGACACACACACACATATTCCAATAAATTCCTTGGAGTCGACATCACAGCTTTACAAGCACAATGGATGGGCTGCATGTCTGGCGCAGGTATTCAGCTTGTTGTCAGAGAGACAGATGCACGGTCCCTCAGTGATGAGCTCAGAGTTGGCTTCCAGCAGGATGACACAATGTATTCATAAACGATGCACACAACCATCGAGCCCTGAGCCACTGCCCTGAGGGTGAAGATGGTACAATAATAATTTCAGTTTTGCCTCTGTGAAAAATATGGAATTAGCCGGTGGAACAGGTGGACCCTATAGGTAAATTTAACTTCCTAGGTTCATTCTGTGGATACAGGCGTTTACTGAGGCCTGTGTTTCCGCTGTGTAAGAGCCTTTCCTCCCCACGTCTATATCCCTTAATTTTCTGCAGCCTTTTTCCTCCTTCCCTGCCTGGCTTCATCAGAAAACAAACTCTCAAGAGGGTTCCTCCCTCTGTTTTCATTTTACTAGTCTGTCAAATGTGAAGTGCATCTTCCAGTGTGTGTGTTCATCTTCCCCTCTCGAGCTCTGTCTAGTAACAGTGAAATTTGAAGCAATGATTTCTCGGCGGAAAGATAAAAATAAACCAATAAAATCCAATTTTTATGTGTGAAACTCGTGAAGTTCAGAGTAAGCCAAATCCCTGCGCTCCTTATCTGACCTGTCCATTTCCCCATATGAGCCAGGAGATGGGGCTGATAGAAGGAGGAGATGTCTTTTCCATACAACATGTCACAATGTGAGGCTTTATGTCATTCAAAGTACAGGAGAAAGACTCAGTCGAGTGACCGAGGCTGAAGCCTAAAGGATCGTTTTTAGGACGTACTTGGGAATTATTAGGATGAAAGAAAAACAGGGAGCTGGAAAGTAAGTGGACACAGGGACCATTTATGTGAAGATGACATAATCACCTGTTGCCCCCACGTACAACCAACATCTGTGAAGTTTATTAACTTTTCTATTCAACCCGTAAGTCTCTCTCTCTCTCTCTTTCCATTTAGCTCAGCAGCAGTAAGGAGACAGTATGTCATACATAACACTGGGAAGTTGGTTTCAAATGTGCTGTCACTTTTGATATCATGAAAGATGTATCCAACAGAAGCAAGCCTGTCAGACATTCCTTCAATAAACAAACGCATATGTGCGTGTTCTACTGTTAAAGGTGGAATTAGAAAATAATGGTCCACCTTTAATAAACCTTGAGTTTAGGCCTGAATATTAAGGCATTTGAATTAAAACACAATTGACCCACATGGACGATGTCGCTAAAGAAAGAACTGGCTTTAAGGTTACATAAGAAATTTACACAAATATATATGACTTTATTTTAAAAGAGCTTCAATTGGAAGCATCATTGCAATCCAAACAATCTAAGTGGTTCAATATCACTACTCCAAGTAACACTGAGCATTTTGGAATTGTATTTACTAATGAAACAGTTTCATTTTCTTCTAATTAACATTAGATTGGCATAAGTTTCTGTGTCTGATGACTGACTAGAAACAATGCTTTATTAGATTAGATTAGATTACATTAGATCAGCCTCGATAATATATTCAAACTGTGATCCAAACTGCTGCTCTGTGTTCTGTCCTGTTTATACAAACACTTCCTCTTTTCGTTTCTGCTGGCAGGTCATTTTGTTTCTGCAGAACTCTTGCCGAAAACCTGCAAAACAGACGCTGACTGTAAGCAGTCGACTGGTGGGATTTCTCAGCCCACATTTCCCATCCTGCTCTCCACGTACTGTGGCGCCCTGTGAGCTGCTCCAAACCCAGCTGCCTCCATGTTTCCTGGATTAGTCTGCAGAGAAAAAGCCCACAGAACTGGATGCCTCCTTCCATGCCACCCACACCTCCGTCCACCTCCAACTCACACACACACAAACACACTTTCTCGCTCTCTCAGGCCGAATCAGTGCCATGTACAGAAGCACTCTTGTTATGCACTGATGCTTTTTATATCATGTGTGCCAATGGGCCATTACATGGCGAGAAAGGAACTCTGTTAGTCAGCCTTGTTTGGGATCACATGGTACGAGACTCTCCAACCACTTTTTACTTGCACATGAAGTGCAAAACATTAAGTTAAAAATAAAGGGCTAACATTTTGCAAATTAAAATGGTTCCTTAATGTCTAGTTATAACAAACCATGCACAAAATCGAAGATATTCGCTACATTACGCCTCTGTTCTGCATGCCCCGCCCACCTCCTCCATGGGCGAACACGTGAGCATGGTTTCCTGTAGCCATAGCAGCACTTTAGCAGTGAGAGAGAAATGGCTTGAAAATGGTAGTAATCTGGCAAAAACATACAGTGATAGTGAAGCAAGTGGTGAATTCTCACACTGTTGGAATTGGTAATGGGGCGGGGCTTCACAAGCTGGGGGCGGGGTCTTTTCAAAATCAAAATGACCTCGTTTGAGACACATTTCCCGATTTTGGCAGATAATAAAACATTAAGCTAATTGTTGAAACTGTCATTTTGAAGAGCAGGCAGACACTGTAGAACCTCCACAGTCAGTCTGTGTCACACTGTGTCACACTGTGTCCTCTTGAACACCTTTATAATCTGTCATTGAACAGAACCTTGTTTTTGTTAATGTGACATAACCGTTACAGAACTGTTGCTTTTGGAGCATGACGTTCACCTATGTCTCTGTTGAGTCCAGAGCATGATATGTCCCATATGTTATCAATCTGTTCTGCCTTCTTCTCGGGGAGGCTGAATTTTCCACAGCAATTACAATGGAATCTCTAACAAAGTCAAGTGGAGCAGAACAGGGTCAACTTACATGGACATATCTGCTGACAGAGAACTTTGCTTTTTACATTTAACTACTTCCAAACGTGTCCTCATTAGTTCTTTGACTCACATTATTGTCAATTTTATTGTATTTATATTTATGTTATTGAAATAGAGTGCAGGGTACAAATAAAAACACCCTTTGTTTGGCATGACCTTTATGTCTGATGTTATCCAGAGGGTTGGTGGGTGATGTAATCCCACCAGCTTGTCTTTAAATGTCATCATGTCACATGTCCAATCAAAAATCCAAATCAATAATACAGTGGACAATTAGAAACAACCACGCAGCAGGATTGAAACTGCTGTACGTAAAGCTTTGGCCACAGTGTGGCGGTTTGGTGCCAACTCTAGTCCGCTCCAGTGCCAAACGAGACCACAACATGGGCCTCCCTCTCTTCTCCTCTGTGTCTCTCTGCCTCAGCAGCAGGTCCTGCTACTGCAGCCATGCATGGCTGAGCCCAGGCCTCCCAGCTGTTCACAGGAACAGTAAATCTACACTGGGCACAGTTTTATTTTTACAACGGACCAAGCAGCCGTACTGCTGCTGTCAGTAAAGTGCCATGCTTCATAGATCACTGAGCAGGAAACATGCCTGTCAATAAAAAGATAAGATTAGTCAGGTCGAGCCTTAATTTTACTTTTTCTCATTTTACTTGTACTTTTACTTTTTTTTCTTGTCTTTGATAATACAATGTGTGTGTAAACTGGCTGTTGTTCAGTTAGAACGTGCTACAAAGTAGTCTCTAGTTGAATGTAACTTCCGACAGTGATTAAAAACATAACCTAGTTGTGGTTAAGCTAACGGTTGAGCAGCCGGGGGAAAGAAACGGTGAATCAAAGCTGGCGTCATGATGAGCCTTTTTATTTTAAAGCACATGTATTAGAGCTAAGTACATAAGGCAAAAAAAAAAAAAAAAAAAAATACTATTTCTACTGTACAACAAACAATACAAAAAATTACAAGGACATTAACATTTTAATACACGTGTGGCTGTATTGTTGCATGTTTATTACAATCGTACATAACTGTAATAATCTACAAGAGTTTAGTATAGATATACAAAAATCTGTCAATCAATGCTCTTAAGCAGCACTTTGTGAACAACACAGGTCTGTAATTATAGTGGATATATCTAAACACGTTAAAGACATATTTTACAGAGAGCGTTTTAGTTATCTATACAATATTTATACATTTATAAAAAAATGAAAGTGGGTGAAAATCTCGGTGAAATGAGAGGACGGCGTAAAGACATGGCAGAGTCTGATGGGGAAAGACAATTTTCAGTTGGTTAAAAAAATAAAATAATAATGAAAATCCACAGTTTTTATGACACTCGCCTGCTCCTTGGCATACACACACACACACACACACACACGCTCAGACAACAGTGTGTGTTTGTTTAACACAGAAATAGGGTTTTTCTTTTCACAGGACACAGCGCTTATATGTATTTACACACACACACATACACACACACACACACACACACACACACACATACAATGTACATGTAGAAACACCAGTGTACCCACCTATGGGCGTGCACACACACGCACACACACGCACGACTAAACATAATCACACACACAAACTCACTGAAAAATAAAAATCCATTACAAATGAGTGATTGGGTCGGTGAGAGGCCTCTCCCTGCCTGCAGGGGGAGTGCAATCATCCCATAATAATGTGCCAGCTTAGCTGTAAATCATCAGCCTCTGTCCACAGTGACTGACCACACCACTGAACAGAGAAAGCAGGCGTGGCACAGCCACACCTGCTGAGCAGCTGCAGAGTGGTGGGGTCTGTCTCCCTCCGTCCACAGGCGGTAACCTGCTGGTAACCTGCTGGTAACCTGCTCCACTACAGCTAACCAACATTAAATGCAACATCCCGGGTTTAGGCTGCACTGACAGTCAAGCAGAAAAAGCCCGACTGGCTGAAGATGGAGACGTTTTGAAAAAAAAAAAAAAAAGAAAAAATGGCCAAGTCTTAAGGCATCAAGTGACAACCTGAGTATTAAGTTTGAAAAGATTATCACACCAGGCTCAGTTGACTTTCAAAAACCAGTCGTTTCTGTCACGGGGAAATCAGTATGATCAAACCTTTCTTCTGTCGGACGTGTCAGGCAGCAAGTGGTGATAACGAAAAAGGAATAAAACAGTGCTATAAGTTATATATTTTATACTGTAAATACTGTATGACTATGCTGCTAGTTATTTCAGTAATATCCTTCCTAAGGAAGTTGTTGTCTGATGGTGTTCTAAGGCCACAGAGAGATCAGAGAGAAGGCAGCACTAAGACTTCCTCCTTTCCTTGGCAGGGTTCTTTTCTTCATTAATTTTTTTTCTTCTTCATTCTCCTTTTCATGGTTTTTCCTTCATGTGGTCACACTTCTGTCAAACCTCCGCAACCTCAGCTCTGTCTGTCAGGTGATCTAATTCATTGATGTCGTTTTTCATCTGTCTTCAAATCTCTGGATGCCTCACTTCAAAATAAAGGGCTCAGAAAGTCAAATCGTAGTTGAACATATTAGTCAATAATAACAGTGGACTCTGCAGTTCCATTTTCAGGATATTTCAGGACACTCTTGTCCACAGGGCCCCTGGCAAGGTACTTCAAAATGGTGAAAGACGAGGAGGAGGAGGAGGATGCCATTTGGAAAAGCAGCTACAGTCTCTCGTCGCTACATTCTACTGTCCGATGGGAGGTCAGCATGGCTGCGGTCGGCTCCTCGGTCACAGACAAAGAAGAGACTTGGTCTCTGTTACACCATGTTGTGGTGGTTATTTCTGTCGATAATGTCGGAGGAAGGCAGCAGTTCCTTTTTGATGGGAGAGGGCGGCGGTGTGACCAGCTTCACCCTGGGCTTGAAAAGGTCTGACACATAAAACACCTGGAGATAGAGAGGGAGAGAGAGGGGAGAGGGTGTGAGCCATATTTACAGTATGAAAAGCAGATGAGCATGAGACCAGATCTCTGTGAGCAACTTGGGACACCAGGTTCATCTATATACAGTACATGGTACTATGACAGGTACCACACAAATAAAGTCACAACGATGATCAATCTGTCTGTAGGACACTGGCAGGTCTCATTCTGCACAAGATTAAAAAGCGACATAAAGCTAGCTACATAAATCCCTCATCTTTGGCCTGCCTGCGGTCCAGATCTGTAGTATACTGAAAAAAACAGTATCAAAACACAACACAACAACATATCTATCATTGAACGTTCCATTTAAAGACAGCAATGTGAGTAAAAACCTTTCCTCAGTGATAACATTTTTAAAATGTTTTGAAAGTATCAGGTTTTAAGTTAGTTTAAAGTGGCTTTAGTTTATTTGTATTTATTGCCTTGGACTGAAAGTGTACATTAGTTATTGTACTTTTAATTAGCGACCTTATCAAGTTAAGTTTCATTTTACATGGACCATTCTTCCTGCTGCAACCCATCCTGGGTGTGGGTGATATGGATCCCAGAGCCTTCTGCTGGCAAGTGATAAGGTGGAAATATAATGAAGTGCTTCCCCTTTTTTTCAATAAAGACGTGTGTGTCATCACTCATGAGGTCAGAACCGGCACTTAATGTGAACTGGTCACTTGATTTCCACGTCAACTTCCTCTGTAACACTGTGTTATTCCAAGTTGATGGCACTGAGTAATCTCGCTAAATCTGATGACCTTAGTACAGTTAGCTCTGATGCCAGAGTTCTTAAGAAGTGGTGCCAGGGGTGACTTCCCATGTTACATCACTGCTGAGGTCTGCCTGTATTTTCTTTGTGATGAATGAAAGAAAGTCTAAGAGAAAAAAAGGCAGTAAAGGGATCTCTTCCTGAGATCTCGATGACATCATCAAACAGGAAAATGGGAAGGAATGGCCGGGAAAGGGCATTTTGGAAATGACTGTAACGGTGAAATATGGGTTCCATTTAAAAAGGGTCTGGGTCATTCAAGTGATGAAGGCTTCCACTGAGAAGTGACGCATGAGTGCAGGCATACGCACATACACTAACAGGCCTAACAGTGGAGTTTCCTTCCTTGTTGCCATTCTGTCCAGAGCAGAGAGCCTCAGCCAGACACTCTACAGTTTAGGCTGAAGTCATAGTCAGTGTTGACTTTATAACAGGTTTCCAAAAACTTGTCTGAAACTAGTCACTAAAGAGAAAAGTTCAAATGAAGTCCAAGATTGAGTTTCGGCTAAATCACATGACCTTGGATCTCGTGCTACAGTACAAGACTGACCAGTGAGATGGGGAGGGAGTAAGAAGCTGCCATCCGGGCTGTTCCAGGAATGTTCAACACGTGGTACACTACAGTTCAGTCTTCATTTCTACTTTCTGTAGTAGAATCTCTGACATGTGATCCACGATCTACTTATAAACCAAAGATTCTTAAACATCGTCTTCTACTGCAGTTTCTCATTTACTGAATATATCAGACCTTTATTGTGTTACATGGCATCACACATGCATGGACCTACACAGCTGCTTTTATGCTGCTTACAAAGAGCCTCTTTATCTTTACTGTCAATATTTAGTGTCATGTACTCTGGTGTATCATACATGAAACATTTGTGTAATTCCTGTCCAAGCCTGCAGCAGATCCGTTGTAGTCAGCTAGCCTTTAGCATTCTCTATTTAGTTTAACATGGGCCACCACTTCCTGTGTGAGGTATATACAAACCCTCACTGATTCAAAGACTGAGGTTGTATCTGAAATGAACACACCACAGTTAGAAATGCAGCCTATTGCCTCGTCTGTTCTTAAACCACATTACAGCAAACCTGGGATGCACATGTGGCTGCATTTTACAAGTGTGAATACAAATGAATCCATAGGAAGCATTAAAAACCACAGAGCCAACACTCCTTCAGTCAGAGAGGTTGGGAAACGTAACGTTTTCTACTGTCAAATCCAAACTCTAAAAGCCTAAGATTGTCATGTTGGACAACGTTGGCCTGATTGTTCCCTTTAAGAAAAACTTCCTCTTCACTGACCAGGCTGTAGCTTATGGAACACAATATTACTACTACTCTACTACTGTTTTACTCAGAGCTACTCAGTAAAATTACTAGTAAAGATCTACTAAGACAAAAGCCATCATGTTACTCTTCTCCAACTTGATATCGTAAATTTAAAATAAAACAAACAAATTACTACTAAGTGTGGAGTATGACATATAATGTCTATTAGCAATATATGGTACGATGTACTGTATATGTGTGTGTGTCTAGAAAATGCCCAACCTCAAATCAAACTGACTCAGCAGCAAGTGGGTTTTTGGAGGAAATGTCTTTAAGTATTCTACATTACTTACCCAACGCCCTATTTGTGCACCAATAAATGAAACATGTTTTCGTGCACATGAAACCGCTGTGCCTGAGCAACACGTCAGCAAATGAGGTTCCATAAAAGTAGGTCAAAATTCAGTCTGGAGAAAACAATCAGCTGTTCAGCGCCTACTTATCACACACTTCCATGTGTGGCTGGCTCGTACATTAGAGGTTAAAACAACCGTTTAGGAGGCCGTATAATACGAAGAGACTTGACTTGTGGCCGTTGACTGATACAGTTGACTTCCTGCTTCTACACAAGTTCACTGACCACAAAGACAATGCCTCAGTATCCGAGACCCCCCACTCTGGGCACTATATCCACATGTTTTTGAACCAAAGCAGTTTTGTTTTTGCCATGACCCCAAACTTCTCCATTGTGACAATGAACTTTGAAAAACAACTGAGCGCTACAGCCGCTTTCTCTCTGACAGCTGTTTCCTGCTGCCTTCAGTCCTCTGACCTTTCTTACGACACATGTTCAAAAAGTAGGTCACTGTGTCTGACAGGAAGTGTCAGGTAAGGCTGACCGTCAACTTCCTCTTGTAGTTCCCTGTTTTCCCTGAATCACATGCTCCCATTAGTATTCTGTGACTGGTGATTTGTGGAGGCCTTAACTTCGGGTCAGACACCCGGCTTGCGCCAGACCAAAATCACCGAGCGCAGGACACTGACTAAGTCCACAGCTGACAAGCTGAATGACTAAATTGTCAAATGGATTGTGAGAGACTGTAGACAGATTGATATTAAGGACAAGGGCTTCCCTGGAGTTTCCAAAGTGACTTCCGACACTTTCTACACTGTTAAGAATGATCAGAAATGTCATCATTTGGATTAGTCACCACCATTAAAAGCAGCTATGACACATATTTGCCTGCCTGCCTGTCTCTTCATTACAGTATATATATATATATATATATATATTTACATACTTGAGGAAGTAAATTAGATCTTGAGTAATCGTGATTAATGAGGTGACTAATCCACAGCTAGCCCAAACCCCTTGGTGTTTATAATGGATTAGCTGACACAGTTAAATCAACCTGAAATATCCCTGGAAACAAAGGGCATTTTTCAAACCACATCATCCATCATGTCATATTTTGTGCGAAGGTTGACAACTACACACTTGGTTTGACGTGCAAATTCACTTGGAACTACACACATAATGATCACATGCCTCAGGATGGATTAATTGACTATGTTGTTCAGGCTCTAAAAAAAATCTGTTACATTAAAATATGATGTCAGTCCAACCAGTGATTGATTTAGAATTAGCCTCTTAACAAATACAGATTGTTTTCCTTGGTTGGTGTCCTCCACATGTATTTAATGGGTGTTTTTATATCTAAGAGTAACATACACTTTTGACATAACTACAATATTTGAATACAATATCAATATAAAGTCCAAAGTACGCTATCAACACACCTGTTGACAGCGTAAAGGCAAAAGGTCCTGTTTCCTACGTCCACTCATCTACTGTCAGGTTGTTTCTGCTCCACTGCTCATTGAGACGCTGGAGCAGTCGAGCTAAAGTGCTCACAGATGTGAGACTGGGCAAATCAGAAGGGGCGTCAGGGATTGTAAAAACTAACCTCACTGCTTGATCGGCAGGGGTTTGACTATGCATTCATGCGGATGTGAACAGCGTTACTCTGTGTGTGTGTTAGGGTGTCTGTGTGAGGGTAGGGGAATAGTTGAGATGGATTAAAACCACACTTGTCTCCAGCCAAGACGCAGACAGGGCTCCTCTCTCCTGTCATTTCCCTCCCTTCGCTCCTCTTGGCAGATGTGACCATCGAGAGTTCAAGTGGAGCACATTTTTAAAAACTTTTCTTTTTTTTTTCCCCCTCTCTAAACGTCAATGTTGATGTTGTACATGAGTAACAGCCATCTGGTTGACAGCTTCACTGTATTTGTTAGCTCGTGAGTTCATGCTAGATGCATCAGTGATCCTGGCATTTCAGGAGAACACAACTCCAAGTGTGCATGTACACTTCAGCGGTGCCAGGGTTTGCCAAGGCGCCACTGCTTAGGTATTGCTGAATTTTATGAATTTAATCCTTTCCATATTCATTATTTGGATCTGGTATAAAAAGGTAAAGGTTTTCGTGGGTGAACGCGTGCGAGTAATGGGCGTGTGTGTGTGTGTGTGTACACATTAGTTAATGTTTCCATACTTTTCCCAGAGGCAGCAGAGTTTAAACCGAGGCCTGCTGCGCTGTTAGAACACGAGCTGCCAAATAAAAAAGCCCTGATAATTAACAACTTCATTCCTGATTCAAAGCCTAATCTCCTCTTTTTACACGCCTGTTATTTTCCTCTGAGCCCACGTTCAATTTTCCTTGGCTCCGTCTGGCTTAGTATAATGATGAAGTTTAAGAAAAGTCGTCTGGCAACTGCCGCGGCAATATGTCACAGAAGTAGGTAAAGAGTTGGTGAATATAGATCCACAACCACTCACAGACTCACAAAACACCAACACACTTTCCAGTTGTGTGTTATTCATTAAAAGGGAATCGGTTTCTCTGCCTGTTGGTTTTTATTGTTTCTTTTTTCAATAAAAGCAGAGAGAGATTTAAGTAAAAAACAGTGAGTGATTTTGTAAAGATTATTCCATCTGTTGGTTTTCTAAACTGAAATGTTATTTAAAAAATGAGTTAATGTTTTTTTTTTTTTAATGTGTGCACTTACAATGCAGTAGGCCACCAGGGCTCCTTGCACGAAGCCTGCGAGGACGTCAGTGGGGTGATGCTTGTGGTCGGAGACTCGTGATAGGCCGGTGTAAAAAGCCATCATCAACAGGGTGAACTGCAGCAGCGGGCGAAGGAGGCGAGCGCCGCGCCACGTAAACCTGGACTGCAAGTAGAACTGCAGAGCAGAAGAAAGGAAGGAAAGGAAAGGAAAAAAGAACAGGTGACGTTAATGTTTTTAGTCGTGTCACATTAGTATGCAGGTACTGTATGAAGTTCAAACATTTGGTACTTTTTTATTGGCTTTGAACCCTGTGATTGCTGTGTGTTGTTACAGTATAAAAGGTCCAGAGTGAATCAAAGTGCCAGACAGCTCTTCCACTAACAGAAAAACATACAGACTCCACTGCCTGAGACCCGGACATGACATGGTTCTACGTCCCAGCTGTGAAAACATCGGGACCACTTGAGCTCTCACACACACACACACACACACTTTTACATGCTGCATGTCTTTTCATTCAAACAGGAACAAAAACAGGAACACGTGACATTAATGATGGACATTAAGTCAATTTGAAACAGCTCCAAAAAATTGTTTTATTTATTTATTTATTTTAATCTGAGTGCTGAGGTCAGCCAAGGTTTCTTACACATCCTGTGTTTCTGTACCACTTATGCCCTCAACTTCCTGTCTCTCACACCCAGAGACGGAGAACTGCCCGTGAGAACTGCCCACTGTCGAGGTCCATCCGGAGCTAACCTCCACACCGCTGTCTGATAATCAGCTAGGCTAACAATACACACAGACAGACACGGCTCCTCTTACTAATCTGTGCTCTCCACCATTAACGTAGGTAAGGGCGTAAAGCTCACACTTCCTACATGAAACTCTATCATTGTTCTCCTCACGGAGCCGCAGGAAGCAATCCCTCCCATCCCCTCCAGTTGTGCTCTCTTTTTCTTGGCAGGGATGTTTAGACGTCAAGCTTCCTCAGAAGTTGTTCTTGGGTGGTGGGTGAGAAATGCACATGAGTTAATTCTGTCTGACGTCCCACAGTCAGGGAGACAACATCCTAAATCTCTTAGGTTTATGAAAGGATTAATGTGCGACACAGAAGTACGCCATTAAACTTAGTCTAAACAAGTGGATACAGTGATTGGCCGAGTGATTTGGCCCCGGCCAACTGTTGCACAGTGAGCAAATCCACATACACTGAGTCGCCTCAGACAAAGCAATAAGGAAAAACCTCATGCAATCTGAAGGTGCACTGCTGTATCCAGCAGAGAATTTGGCATCTACCTTACAGGCCTGCCCCTCCACAAATCTGCTGTGTCTGAAATACTGAGACTTGAGAAAAACAACAATAAAACACAACAACAGAAGGAGTCGCAGCAGATTCCCATGAGAGCACAAAACAAAAGAGACATGGAGTCTGGTGGTTTCTGCAGGAATCCTTCTCCCATTCTCTTTGTCTCTCTCGCTGTGCTGAAAGTGAGTGGTGAATAAAAGGAAAACACGACACAACAAAGTGAGAAAGAATAGGACAAAGACATAGCTGTGGTTTCACCATTTGTATCACAAACATGTTTTTTTCTTTCATGGAGCAACACGTTGTCTGCTGTAGTGATAGCAGGAATAATAACTACATCACAGTGTGTATTAGAAACCCTGAGAGGAGATTTGAAGGACACATTTAAGTGTGCTTGTACACTGTGTTTGTAGCTGTGTGCCATCTCTGCCAAGGTCTCAAACCACATCAGTCGAAATAGCAACACTCAAACACGCTGCACGGAAAACAAAAAGGACCAAATATGAGGGTTGCGGGAGGGAGGTGACAGCCGCACTGCGAAAAACGGTGAGCAATCAATATTTGTTTTATCTTGTGGAAGTTTGTGGTTATCTATCTAGGGCAGAACAAACTTCATCACCACCAGCTTTGTCAAGGAAACTGTGGTGGAAGATGACTGAGCTGTGGCTGTAGAGAAGACCTTCCTATAGAATCTATGAATCTCAAATAAATAAAACATAATTTTCTTCTTTCTTTTTTCCACAATATCATTTAATCATTTCGGATTAATGTGGCATTAGACCTGTCATTACTCTTTACTCCCTGTAGTAATAAATGGTGAATCTAAGATTAGAAAACACCACTAAAATATTTAAAAAAATATATATATAAAATATTCTCTATTAGCAGATATTGGTCTTCATGACCAATACTTTATGCTGAAAGAATTTTTTTTTTCAGTTTTTGGGGGAAATTAAACAGCTATTGGATATAAAAACTTTGGCCTAAATATAAACATATATGTACAGTATATTTGTGTTGTTGCAAACACAGTGCATCTTAATGTGTTTTGTTTTCAAGCTAAATCAGGAGACACACACACCAAAAATACACACAAATAGAAGAACATCTTTCTAAATGTGTAGGGAGGATCTGTGACTCAAAGACCTGACGTCACATGACTGGTTTTCTCAAGTCGAGAACCAAACATGCCGCAGATTCCCTTTTACACTAGGAATGCTGCCATTGTGGGCAGTGGCACTTTGTCCCAGACTGTTTTATATTCCAAAACACTCTGCTGCGCTCCCTGAATCACTCTACTGTCTTCACTCCAGCATCCTCTGGCTATGGTCAGGAGCCTGCCACAGCTGGAACACTGGTCTCTGCCTCGTATGTGTGTCACTGTGGTCTGGATGCTGAACATTAACATTCCACTGCTGCCTTTTTCCTCCTGCCTTTAATTCATCTGCTCTCTATGGTTTGCACCGGATTCAGCTGTAGGTTCAACCAGAGGCTGGGAAACACCCACAGCAAACTCTCACTGCACAACAATATTATTCTACAATACACCGAGACTAACCGTCAGACCGGCGTGAGATCCAAAACCACATGAAAACGCAAATGTTTGCTTTTCTGCCTCAACCGTCTGTAGCTAGGCCAGTGATGAAAAAAAAAAGTATTTCCAGGTGTCCAAAAAATGTAAGATTGGTTTTAAAGTCACAACCTCACACAGACCTAGAGAGAACCAAATATCAAATAGACGGCGTGTAGTTATTGGGTCTTTCTAATGGAACAACGTCTCAACATTTAACATTCACACGCCTGGTGACCTGCTCCCTGGAGCACTCGTCACAGAGTTCAAGTGAGAGAAGGACGACATGGGAAAGACAAGATGTACCAAACTGCTGGACTGAAGAAAGTAACTCCCCACATCTCTCTGAGGAACAAGGAGGAGAATGACCACTTTCATAAGTTAAGCAGAGGAGGAGGAAAAGGAGGAGACGGACGGGAAGCAGAAGAAATTTATCAGAACATTGTTTTGTTTTGTCTCAGACGGCGGATCTCTTAATTAAAGCCCCCGTCTCTTTAGGCTGCCCTGCTTGTCGTATCTGTCAGCCTTTGTTTGTCTCTCAGCACACACACACACACACACACACACACACATGTCTTTGCAATGAATGTGTTTGTTTTCATATGTATATCAGGGTTCAAATTGAACGGTGACTTACGGCCAGATAAAGCATGGTGAACATTGAAAAAGAGGCGTGTCCTGAGAAGAAGGATTTTCTGTGGAATAAAAAAAGCTTGTGTTCAGTTGCACAGTCACTAATATTAATAACAGAATATCAACAGTTCTTTTTTTTTGGCACAAACCTGGCTTCTTGCACATCACTCTCGTTACCAGTGCAGGTGTAGTTGGTGATGTATCCCAGGGAACAGTCGATGGTGGAGAAATCAGGTCTGCACACATCTATGAAGTGGGGTCTCATACGACCCACTGACACCTTCGCAATGTCTGTGAATGACTGACTGACGGCACAGCCGAAGAGGAACACGCCCATCTGCAGGACAACATGTAGTAGTGATCAGATTAGTACACAGTCATTCAATTCAATTCAATTTTATTTATAGAGCACAGTGGTAATGTTTGGAGAAGGAGAAAAGTGACTTGATGATGATTGAAAAACCTATAGCCAGCGTCTGACCTGTTTATAGAGCGCGGCCACGTAGGGATTCCCCACAAAAGACTTTGTTCCTTCGTGTAGTTGGTGAATTCTGAAGCACTCACCGATCACAATCTAAAACAAAGAACAATTAGCTTTGAGATAAACACAGATTGACACCAAAATCTAAAAAATGAAGAATGCAGCCTTAGATAACCATGCACTACAACATACATATCAGTCATACAGTATCTGAAGAGGTCATGCAATAATATCTGAAACAATTCCAGGCTTAAAAATACAGATATTGAAAAGATGACGTGTTGAGGAAAAGACATGTGAGACAGAATGAGTGAGGATGAGAGACACAGAGAGTGAGCATGGCCTGCCCTTCCATCAGGCAGGTTGGATGTGGTGTTAGACTCCTGAGAAGGAGTGACGCTGTGGTCAAACGTTTGTTGGAGTTTAAGAATATGAAGGGATGGGAAAGAACACAGGCACAGCTTGAAAACGTCCACCTCTATCGTGACAGATTTGGTTTAGAGAGGATTTCAGTCCCAGTACCGGGGCTTAGACTGAGTGGACTAATCCCAACTCCTCTGGTATTCCACACAGATGGTTCTGAGCAGGGTTGGGCCCCATGAGAAACCTCATCTAAGAACAGGGTGCTTAGAAGCCTGGAGATGTCAATCACAGCTGTACCACCTGGGGTATGTGAGTGACAGGCTGGCAACTCTCCACCACCAACCCATCCACACTTCCTTCCTGTATGGACAAAGCTTCACTTTTCATTTTCCCTACTGACCCAGTCTGGCAGGAAAATATTTACCAGCCCATCTCTGAGGCTGCAGACTGGCTCTGGATACATGGACATGTGAAGGATCACATTTCATAGACATAACTTCAGAAATGCAAAACTGTGGTGTGTGGTGTTGCATGTTACTGAACCAAAACTGTAAACTGAGTGGGAGATTAGAGCCACATGAATCCCAATTGTATTTGGGTGTGTGTTTGCGTGTAAACCCTCTTCTTATCTCCAGGTTTTGAATATGACTATAACGAATGCATTATTAACACAGATGCTGATGTCAGATTTCTCGCTCTGTATTTGATTTTGTAAGGAATGGAAATGATGAAAAAATCTGAGGCGCCACATACAGATCACTGTCAGCTCTTCAAGACGGAGACTGCTGTGATGTGTTAAATGTGGCACTTCAAAAACCTCTCCGCTGTTGACATTTCTGTCTTGTAAAAGCAGAATAAATCATAGGGTTCAATCACTGCCTTACGGGATTACTTGGATCATCCGTCTGTGAGCTCATAGAGCTCTATATCCTAATGTTGTTCACGGTGTTCTCACAGTGGGAAGGTATGGAGAGACAGGTTTCACACTATTGGGATTTCTATTTAAAGGGACACACGCACAACTAGGCCTGACTAGAATCTGCTTTCAATGTATATGTCTACTGAGTGGGTGTGTGCACGGGCGTGTGTGTGTGTGTGCGCCTGCAGGAGCACGCATGTGAACTTTAAAGGAATGGTTTCGGCATGGCAGTAGACGCTGCTAATGGAACACAGCTGTGCGGGACACGGCAGCTTTGCCCACACGTGAACATGTGAGGAAACTGACTAACACAGGCAGGCTCCTGGTTCTAATAAGAAGAAGGGCTGAGCTGGTACAGTGTGTGTCAACACACACGTTTGTGCGTATATGTGCCCATGACATTTGCTGGTGAACAGACAGTGGAAAAAAAGGACTGGGGACTTTTACGGGGGTGCAGTGGCACCAGGACTCAGGGGGCAGTGAAGCTTTCTAACCTGACCTGAGGGCAGAAATGATCATCCATTTACTCCTGGACAATGTCACTGTCATGTCTTTCCACTGAGACCTCCTGAACCTTTGCCATAATACTTCATATTCAAGCGTGGTTTCAGTCGTGGGAATGACTATTTTGCATTGTGGAAAGTGGTAAAACACCTCAGGCCACTATCGCTGCTGGAGTGGGAGAGAGCTGTGACACATTCACCCACAGTAATGTACAGGGCAGAGAGGCCAAGGTGTCAGGGAGCAGGAGCACGCAGGGGGCATGTGAACTGGCAAAGACCTACTGAAGTCAGTACACACAAACACAAACCTCCCTAATGTTGCTTGGACTACACCGAGTCACAGATTTAATGTGGATGAAAGAGTAAAGTATGACAAAGAAAACAAGGAATAGATTTATTTAAATGTATAATAGAGCCTGGAGTTATTTAGATAGATACTGCATGAAGACAGATAGTTTAGGGGGCTACAATATTGTTACTGAATTGTCTTGAAAAATTGACTTAAATATGATAAAATGTGCAAAAAAAAAAACAAAACAAAACAAAACAAAAAAAAAACCAACAGGTGTGAAGATTGACTTACAGAGAAGATGGCAATAAGAATGCCCACACCACAAAGCACAGCATCACTAATGGTGTCTCCCTCTTTTCGGGGGAAGCGGATGGACTCGTCCGAACAGTAAAAGCCGCGCTGGTATGGCTTTATGGTGCTAGTCTCAATGATCAGGAAAGGCAGGCTAGCTACAAAAGACACAACAGAAAGAGAGGGCAAAAATAGAGAGAGGAAGACGGGAAGAGAGAGAGAAGAAACAAAGCAAAAAGCACAAGGTCAGTGACACAGACATTTACAGGACAGAACAGGCGAAGCACAAGGGGCATGCTGGCACCAGGGGCAGAAGTGGGTGAGGGCTCAAGGATGTCATGTACGGGCAGCACAGAACAAAGGAGTGACTCATATTTAACCTCAAACCTCTGAAGGCTGAATTAAAAATATCATAACCCTTCCTTTATTGTTATCTGTTGTCAATCATTCACAGCCGCCTATAGTACATTAAACCTTTGGCCCTCGCCATTTCTACCTCCAGTGTTCTCCCAGGTCTACACTCCTCGTTTCGGGGCAAACTTACAGACACCACGGGCAGTGTCAACCCAAAAGAAGTAAGCACCGCGGAGGAGACGGTGCTCTTCTTGTAGGGGTATTTCAGGCTGGTGTCACTGCAGTACAGCCCCCTCTGGTAGGGACGAACAGAGGAGCGGTGCAGAACCAGGCTGGGCAGCATTGCTACACACACATAGGACACACATCATGATGAACCTGAACACAACACGGCTCAATGGCTACACTTACCTGTGCACTGTGGAAGGAAAGGTTAAAGTTATGTTAATTAATCAACCCCTCCCTCTCTTTAGCTAAAGCAAATACACAATGACATTTAGTGCTGAGGGTTCAATAATCAAGGCAATGGAAGCAGACCAGCAAACAGACAGGTCAATATATTGAAACACTATTCAGTGCTTTGGAAGCGATGAGAGTGCCATTCCATGTTTCACTGCTGCAACTTGAGTGCAGTTTCCTTTAGCTTAGCTGTATATTAAGTAAGGAATGTTTCTATGACTCAGTCCAATAATTATTAATCATTTCAGACATTTTATTGATTATTCTCCAGTACATATTTAACTGCATATGAATGTTTGTTGTCTCTAGGCATAAAAAACAAAATGTTTATTTCCACTTAAAGGAAGCCTCCCTAGAAATTATGAGTCATTTTCTTTTCTTTTTTTTATTCCAGATCATGTGTGAGATGAGTGAACACTTGGTTTCAAAAAGGGATTGTCCAACTGAAGATGAAAGAATCAGGGCCAGCCACTGTGAATCATTCAGACAGCCTGGCCATTTTTCACAATGAACAAAAAAGAAGAAGAATTCTACTGTTAAAATACCTGTTGGGTCATTGCAAACCAACCAATTCTTTGTAAAACTGAACAAAAAAAAAAAACAACTTTTAGTTAATTTGGCTTTTTAGTTATAAGAGGTGACATTATGTTTGTGTAATGGATCACAATTCATAATAAAACAGAAAGCAAAAAGTCATTATTATCCATGTCATTATCACTTCCTCTTGCTAAAATGCTAACATCGCTATTGTCAACTAGAAAGAGCTCCAAACTAACATCATGTGGAAAAAAACTCACCCACTAAGGTACCAGTCAAAGCTATAACTGTCCACTTAGCTGTACATGCTGTAAAGATGACAGACGTTTGCTTCTTTTTTTTAAAGATTAAAGTTATTTTAACTTTTGTTAATTATATATTGACAGTAACATCTTAGGTCTGTTAAGTGTTTAATGACAAAAGGTGCCATCTTTAAAAAGAAGCAGTTAAAATATAGGGACTGTGTCCAAACACATGAGCAATTTGGGCAACTTAAAGACACCAACAGAAGTGACTACGAATCAGGAAAACAAATGGGTAAAATAAATACATGTCTGTAAATCCCAAATACGTGTGTCCACACTTTGGCTGTGACCGCTACAGTCTGAGATGTTTTAAAACGTGTCAGTGCCAAGAAAACAGAAAGCGAGGCCACCAGTCTCTGGAACATTTTCCGTGAGAGCTTGTACGTGTGGCGTGTGCGTATGAACATGGGGGTTGATGAATTGAAGGAGCTCAAAACATGGAGGTGTCCTTAAGAACCCACACACAGACAAAGCCAACACATACAATCAATGTCAGACTGCACAGAAAATATTCCCACATGTGGTTCATGAGGTTAGCTCACATCACAGGGATTTTTGCCATGTGGGTCAAAGACAGAGATCTAGCCATGAATGTCTCTCATGCGGCTGGAACACCGCAGCTGTCGTCTCACCAATGATGGGAGAGATTGGGTTACTCGATGGCCGCGTAAAAACACTGCAATCACTAGTCATGTGAATTTATACTTAAAAACCTCAAGACACACATTTCTAACACATTCCTGAGAAGAAAGGGGACGAAAAGCCACTGTCTTCAAATCCTAGACGTCTGTTTTCCTCTGTGTCAGTGAATCCAGATCATGTCAGCACTACAGTTGTGATGGAAAAATGGATGACTTTGGCACAAATGTTCTCTCCTTTCTTGTCGTTGAATACAAATTACTATTTGAGCATCGAACCGCAGTACACGCCACAGCCTTCCATCTTACTGCCCACTGCCTCATTCATCGGTGGTAAGCAGAAGGCAGCAGATGGTATGGTCACTGAGGCCAACACCTGCACAAACAGCATGCAGGGCCAGGGCTTGACTGGCAGCTGGTGGGTGAACTCCAGGCTGAGCCAATCTTTGATGGTGCCTGAAGTCCACACTGCCCACACAACCAGCACCACTACTTTGGGGT